CCCTCTAAAATCAATCATCAATAAATAATTTTTTAAAAATGAACAGCTTATCTTGTTCCTGATCTTAGAAGGAAAGCATTCAGTCTGTCACCATTAAGTGTAAAGTTAATTGTGGGTTTTACATAGATACTTTTTATCAGGGTATCCATTCCTAGTTTTTTTTAAATCATGAGAGAGTATTAGATTTGGTCAAATGATTTTCAGCATCTTCTGAGATGATCACTGGTCTTGGCTTTATTCTACTGATATGATTACTACATTAATTAATATTTTTAATGTAAACTAACCTTGCATTCTGGGATAAATCCCATCTGGTCATAGTGTGTAATCTTTTTTTATATGTGGATGGATTTGGTTAACAATATTTTGAGGATTTGTATCTATATCCATAAGAGATATTGGTCTGTAGTTTTCTCGTGATATCTTTGTCTGGTTTTGGAATCAAGGTAAAACTGGCTTCTAATTTTATTTTTGGAAAGAATTTGTGAACAACTGGTATTAAGTCTTCTTTAAATGCTTGGTATAATTCACCAGTGAAGCCATCTGAGCCTGGGCTTTTCTTTGTAGAAAGTTTATTACTAATGTATCTATTTATTATTGGTCTATTTGCATTGTCTATGTCTTAAGTTAGTTTCAATAGTTTGTGTCTTTTTAGGACTTTAGGCCATTTCGCTTAAGTTATCAAAACTGTTGGCATATATTTGTTCATAGCATTCACCTATAATCCCTTTGTGTTTCTGTAATGTCAGTAGTAATGTTCTCCTTTACATTTCTGATTTTAGTAATTTGAGTCTTCTCCCCCCCTCCTTTGTTTTTTTAATCAATTTAGCTAAAGGTTTATTAGTTTTATTCTTTTCAAAAACCAACTTATAATTTCATTGAATTTCTATATTGTTTATTGAGTCTCTTATTTTATAAGAAAGGTTTTTCCAGCTACAAATTTCCCTCTAAGTATTGCTTTAGCTGCAGCCTATAAATTTTGGTGTGGTGTATTTTTGCTTTCATTCACCTACATCATATTATCTTCTAATTTCCTTTGTGATTTCTTCTTTGATTCACTGGTTAGTTATGAGTTTGTTAATTTCTACATATTTGTGAATTTTCAAATTTCTGTTATGGATTTGTAATTTTAGTCTATTGTGGCTGGAGGACATACTTTGTATGATTTCAATCCTTTTAAATTAATTAAACCTTGTTTTATGACCAAGCATTAGGTCTATCCTAAAGGTTCCATGTGCAACTGAGAAGAATATATACTCTCCTATTGTTGGATGGAATGTTCTGTAGATGTCTAATAGGTCTGTTTGTTTATACTATTCAAAAATTTTATTTCCTCGGTATCTTCCTATTTGTTCTGACTGTTACTGAAAGCTGGGTATTGAAGTCTCAAACTATTACAATTTTTGTTGTTGTTGTTGTTAATCCTTACCTAAGGATATTTTTCCCATTGCTTTTCGGGGGGGGGG